GCCTGCTGATATTTATGAACTGCCTGCTTCTACAGAACTTGAAGTCCCAGTAATTTTGGAAAGGTCACACATTTCTATGCTTTTGAAGTGTTCCAATGCAGAATAGCTCACACTGAAGCGCAAGATCTCTTATATGCCTTTCTATTTGATGGGGCATCCACATTTTGCATAGTGTTTAGGGGATATATGCATTGCATTTTACAGAAGCCAGGGCTCAGATAGCATTCTACTTGGCTGTAGACACCTGGTTGTTCTGCACATTTCTTTTTTTTCCCTCAAAAGCTTCCAAGGCCAAGAGTTATTCAAAGCACCAAAGGACTTTTGCTTCAAAGACATAGTGCAAGCATCAGGAACAGTCAATGGAATTCCACCCAGCCACCTCTTAAAATATTCCCAGTGGCTGCCTTGAAGTGTATTTAAATCCCAAGACATTAGGCATATGGAGGGGGGAAAGCACACCACCAGAATTATGTAGTAGCAATAATACAGGTACCCCTCAGTTAAGGAGCTTGCCGTTGAATGGATATGACAGCTAAGTACCTGCCGTGGTTGTACCCAATGCTCCATCTTGTTTAACGCAAAAGTGTTGCCCAAAGCTTTGTTCTGGCATCTGGACTCTGCTCCTTCCCCCATCTTCCAAGAGGCTATTTGGAAGTGTGATATAGGAATGCTGGTGGGAGCCCTCTGACTGCAGCACAGGCTGGTTGGCTTTACAGTCCTTGGCACTGTGGGGGTTGTTGTCAGTATCCAGGGTCTCAGTGAGAGACTCACAAGTGGACAAAGTTGATTTTGGTCTTGATGACCTGGAATCTCCAGAAAGCTTGAGCTCCAGATTCTGAATCTTCAACAAGCACCAGGTCTTCAGCTCATCAACCAAGGAAATCTATCAGAAAGAGACCGTAAATTACATGATCCTATGATGAGATCCTATGGTTCCTGAGCTGCTGAGGACATGTGGCAGGGACAAAGACAAGCAAGCTGGGTATCTGTGGGCTTAGACTCCCTGCTCAGATGTGCATGCTGCCACTGGGAATATTTAAAGGACTGCAGATCAAAAAAGGTGGAGAACTATGCACTAGCTTATGAAAGGCACTCTCTTTAGTCCAAGCTACCACCTCTTAGATATGAATATGCTGCTTCCAATGCAACTCTGAGTCCTCTGTCAGGGATGACTTGTTTAATCATACAGTCAATGGTACTTTCTAAGTGCAAGGAACACCACACATTCATTTTTAAGAGCAAAATTCAAATTAGACACTTCTGGGGAACAGCTTTATACAACTACCTACCTCTGCTTCTCCATTCAGTGATAAAGGTGAGTTGCCGACTAAATGATAAATCAGTAAATCAGATGCTTAACAAGTGTCAGCTGCAGATGCATTTAAATCATTTAAAATAAGAGTAGGTTTTTTCACCCTGTTGTTCATATGACATCATGAATTTAGGTCAGGCCATCCTAGGCACAAGGATGTTTAGTCGGTGTGTTTGGTAAAGCCCAATTCTGTTTTTTCAGATGTTTCAATTAGACCTAGCTGTGCAGGAACAGCTGACATCACTTAATTCAGTTCACTGATGTATCACCCCAGAATCTTGTGTCTTAAATGGACATTACAAGGTGATGGAGCAAAAGCCTAGATGTTCAGAAGCCAATAAAATACTTATATCTTTTATGAAATAAAAATTAAAGCTGCCTTAGTTTGGTAAGTACTTTTCTTTGGAGAAGAGTATTTGATGGATGTTAGATCCAAGTATCTTGATCAGTAGCTATGCAAGCATTATCACAGCTGTCAGTCTTCCTACATGGATTTGGAATGGTCTTAAAAACACTCAAGACATTTTCCTAGCACAATGTGTACTTCTCAATTCTTGGAAGAATACCAACAATGAGAAAACAAACTGTATTTTAAATTCACCTATGTGAGTGGAGGAACACAAATTTCTCAGCAGGTTTTAAATGGCGAGTTTTTGCAGAAACTGGAAGGGCAAGAGCTGCATCTCTGTGGGAGCAGTTGTTCTTGCACTGCTGGTTGAACAAGCATACAAGAAAGGACTTTCCTATTGGCATTAATACACAGCTTGGAGATGGTGCTGTGTTGCTGACATCAGAAGAAAGAACTTCAGCCTTTTAATACATGGGGGCTAAAAAGCTCAGATAGAGAAGAAGGGAGAGATTCTCAGGGCCCACAGTCTCCAAATGGATGAGAAGGAAAAGAAACAATACAGATCTTAGCTTTTTTACTATTTGGATATGTTCCTGCATATGTCCTCTAATGAAGCAAAAGCTGAAAGCACAACTGTGGAAAATTTAGTGCTGGAAATTTTTGTAAATCACTATGTTAGAAAAATGGCATTTTGTTGTAGAACCCACACTACAGATACACCAAATTAAATTACAGCAGTGGGACTGGATTTCACATTCCTCATTTATAATGCAAAAACTTCATAAATTTGGTTTAGTGACTAAGATGGTGGGCAGGAATAATTTGGTCTTTGAAGCTCTTTTACCTGTTTGAACAGATGTGACACATCTCTGACATTTTCTGCCTGCTGGAATGGAACTCCTGAGCTGACCTGCCAGGGGATGTAGAGGGAGTAAGAGGGAGTAGCTGTTTCGAGCCCTACCTGCCTCTTCTCCCCCTCACTCTTTTCCAGCTCCGTGTGCTGCTGCAGGCGGTGAAGGCACTCTGTCCTCTCTGCCGACAGTCGCTCGGCCATGAGCTTGTCCAAAACCCGGAGCTGTGGGGAAAAACAATGTTCAGCTGAGATCATCATGTTAGAAACCAAACTCCCATCTGTGAGCCCTGTAAATCAAAGTACAGTCTGTCTTTCAGTCTTCGTTTCTATGAATGCTGCCAACTACAATTAGATGTAGCTTGCAAAGAGGCTCAATCACAAAATTACCAATGAATAACTATTAAATTAAAAATAAAAAGTTATTTAGAGGATCTCAAATCTCAATGCATACATAATTCTGCAAGAGGGATTTTGACAATTATGAACTGACCAGTCATAGGATTGCCTTCTTTCCCTCTTAATGGCTCAAGCCCTTAAGATTCGTTGTCTAAAGATGCACCAGAAGCCACTCAAGGCCCTAGTCTGCAACATCAGTTCCCAGTGGAATGTCAGTTCCCTGGACTTGAGTATTAGAGTTCAGGTTTGCTTTTATAACGTAAGAAGAAAAATAAGAATCATTACAATGAAAATATTAATTAAGTTTAGGATGTGTTTCTAAATCATATAGGCAAGCAGAACTTCAGGTCATGTTCTTACTTGATGTTGAGTTTTGCTTTCCATCTGGCCCAGCTTAATATTCATTTTATCTTGTACTGTCCCAAGCTCAGCTTTTATCTCTTCCACTGTTGCCTCCAGCTGATTCTCCAGTTTATTTATCAGGGGCTCACAACGACATCCATTTATGGGTGCCTGAAAGAGTGATCATACATTTACTTGCTACACCCCACCACCCTCTTAGCACACTTGGAGTATTATCACAGCCTCCTTCAGTCAGTCTTGGGTTCTTCTATCCCATGTACTGTATCTCACCCTCCTGACAGTATCTTACAGCAGCTCAGCAAATGGGCTGTTAGTTGAAAAAGCACAGCCTACACAAGGATTCATCTGATGTGTATGGACATACCCTAACACATCAGTGCTGATTTCACTGGGGCTACAAGCAGCACTGAGCTCAGACCCTGTGTGCTGGCTGAGGGAATACATCACAGGCTTATACCCCATGTCTCAATGCTGTAATTCTCAATTGTAAAAAAAAAAAAAAAATCAGATTTTGTGGATTGTGTGCATTTGCTTTTTAACCTAATACCAATCACGTGCTCTGTCCCTTTCCAGTACTGAATGCAAGGCCTAGCTGCTTCTGTTTGCCCTCACCCTCCTGGCATTCAGCTGCCCCTTGCCTGCTAGGCACTCCTCCCTCTGCCTTTGACACATGTGGCACCATCCCATGGTCCCTCTGCAAGGGCAGCTGCACTGACCACATTTAAATCTCTCAGGGAGATGGTCACAGAAGGCTCTCTTAAGCGAGGACACCTAAACCTCATCAGATTCCTCTGCAGCCCAAAGGCAGAAACTGGCTCCTTCAGGGGCTGTGCCAGTAGCCCAAAGCAGCTGCTCTGAATCTGTCTGCAGAGGAGCCTCCCTCTCTTCTTTAGCCTCACAGCAGTGTTTCATAAATTGGGGATTATTCCCTTGGCAGGGAAAGGTGGGTGGTTTGCTGAGTACCTAAGAAAGCTTCAGAAGTACACATACTTTAGAAATTATGTTTGCTACTCATGGCCTCAGGGCATCAAAGAAGACAGACAAGCAAAAAAGAAAAGGAGAGAGGAGTGTCATGTATTCTAGGAAATACTGTATGGGAGTCTAGCTCTATTAAGCTAATCTTTGTGAATAGATGAGATTTGTATACAAATCCTGCTTTCTGCACTTCTCTGTTCCCCAAGCCCTTCTGCACCTCTCTGATCCTTTATCCCTTTAATATATGAAAGGTTCCCCCCACCAGCCTTCCTGATGACTGCTGTAGGACAATTCCATAGTGCCCCTGTCTAGAAATTTCTTAAACATTACATGGAGAGGTTGGAAAGCAGTAAACAACCAGTAAAACCTTTGAAGTCTGACTTGAATGGTCTTCTGAATCTGCTGAAATTCTCAGCTACAGGAAGGGACTGACAAGAGCTGATGGATGGATGCAGTAAGGTAAGGAAATGAAAGGATAGACCTTCCAGGAGTACAGAAGGGCAATATTAAAACAACAATACAGATGTTTGCAGTGTCTACAGGATAATTTACTGACCATTTTTATGCTTTCTTATAAATGTCTACTGGTAATTAATTGTGCAATAAAGTGACTAAAATATTATTCTCCAAACTGGAATAAATGCACATGGCCTGGTAGCTCCAGGTTTATTTGTTTACCAGTTTCTACAGAAATCCTGCCCCAGTAAACATAGAATACCCAGAGACGTGTTGCAAAACCCAGAAAGAATTGTAACAAAATCTATTGAGCTTACTCAACCTCTTGGTTTAGGTAGTAAGCTTTTAGTGCTCACACACTGCTTTTCCTTGGAAAGTATCTTTGCATTTCCTGTCAGAACTCCTAATGTTTTAAAGTATGTAATGGAAGTTCTCATGTCATTTCCAATCACTGTTCACCCCTTATCTTTGCAGATCAAAACCACTTAAGTATGTCTTCTTTAACAGGCACAAAAACAGCTTACTGTTTGCCAGACTTCAGGCCAAAATGCAGCTGAAGCCCAAGCAAGGAAAACCAATCCCAAGTCATGATTTCATGCCCCTGAGAGTGCATATTAGTGGAGCATATTTTCCATCTGTTACTTGTGTCCGCAGGTTGCTCGCAGTGTCTCCCTCTGTGAGGGCTCACCTGCATCACCTTCCCGTCCTTTCCTCGGTAGAGCGTGTAGAGCTGGTAGGCTCGGACCTCGTGGGGAGGGGGTGGAGAGGAGCAGTGGTGTTTACTTCTGCGCTTAGGCGCGTTCTTCTGGGGCTGAGGGAGTGTCTGCTGATCAGCTGGGGAGATGGGGTCTGAGAGTGCTGAAACCTGCATAACATACACACGATGTTTTGCCTATATGAGCACCTTGGTATGCTGTTCCTGGTGGGAATGGGACAAATCCATTGTGACAATTACAGCAAAAATCACTTTTATTTAAGAGTATCTCTGCCCCAGGAGCATGGTGGGGCTGGTGTCACAACACACCAAAGGGACCCACACCATCTCTAACAGCTATCCTCCCTTCTTTCTCTCTGCTATTTTAAATCTACTGATACCTTTTCCTTTGGCTTTTTCTTTTTGCTCTTTTTCCCTTTGGGATCTGGTGAGGCTGAGCGGGGTTTATCCTTCAGATTGTTCTTCCTCTCTGGGGGCTGGTCGCTGCTTGGTGTGTCATCAGCAGCTGAGACGCTGCCCTGCTTGAAGCAAAGACAGGGAGTTCAGAGCAGTTGCAGAGATGGGGAAAAGGAGCCTCTTCTTTGATTGCCCAGCTTTAAGCTGCTCTGCACATGTAAGTGGGAAATGCTTTAGCAGCAGAGCATGACAGACTGCCTCAGGCAGCTGCTGGCGCCACGCACAAATGATGGCTCCAAACAGACTGAGTCCTCAATGGGTTTTCATGACAGTCCCTCCTCACAGCAGATCCAGCTGGTAATGCCAGGCTGTACCTTGCTCTGTACCACTTCATCCCGTGGCACTGACTGAGCCCTCCTTTCCTCCTTCAGTCTCTCTCTCTTCTTCCTCAGGCTTCTCCCACGGTTAAAACGCGAGACCTGAAGACAGACCACACTGTTACTCAGTGGTGTCATACTCTTTCCTACCACAGAAGACAAGTAATAGAGCAGACCTTTTCCTTGTCTGTCTGAAAGGCAACGGATAAAGGAGAGTGCACTGCCGGATGGACACTGATGAGCCGAGCAACGTGGGTGGTTATGGCTGTGAAAACACACTAGCACTGAGCTCAGTCTGTTGGGACACTCTGCTGTCCCCTAGAAAGGTGAGCACATCCTCTGTTGTCCTTGGGATGGTTCCCAAGCCAAGCCCTTTTCATGCAGAGGTGACAAGCAGGAGGAGGGGAAGGACTGTGCCTGGTCTCATGTCCTTCTGCCCTCTGACCTGAAGAGCATTGCAGCATTTCACACACAGCCGCAAAGTATAAACAGGACATAAACATTTTGTCCCCATTGCAAAGCATCCTCCAGTGGTACCCACCCTTCTAGGGAAGGGATATGCCTGAGGCAGGCAGCAGAGTGACACAACTCAGGAGCTGCTGGGTATAGGGCAACTTTCTAACCCCTGGGCCACTGCAGAGAACAAATGCCTCTGACTGCTCCACCCTCCGCCAGTCAGGACACAGAAACCTCTGACACCACTTCATGCTGAGGCTTAATCTGCACATCTTGTTCACCTTGGGGGCTGAAATGCTCTATGTCAACAGACCTGAGCCCAGCCCACAATGCCAGCAGAAATGCAGGAACCTTTCATAGCAGAAGACAAGGAGCAGGGGATGCAGCCTCCCAGGATTAAGTGACCTCATCTCCATGTGTATGTGTGTGTTGGGGAGAGATGTGTAATGTACCTGTGATGCTTTAGTGAGCAGGAGTGCAACCTCGGGGTTATTGTGCTGTCTGGCAACCTCTAGAGGGGTCTGGCCTGCCTAAGAGAAAAAAGAAAACAGCATTTCCTTCAAAACACAAGCTACTGGAAACATAGAATTTCTCTAACCAAGTTCAGTACATACTCTGAGCACATGAGAAAAGTGACAAATTTACCCAGATATAATTCAACACTTCACAAACAAATATTTTCTACCAAGCCTATGAGGAATGTTGAAGGGACTCTTCATTAATATAAAATACCAAAGAAACTCTGTGTCCTGCTTACATTGTTGACAACGGATGCATCAGCCCCTGCCTCCAGCAAGAGCTTCACCACCTTCTTGTGATTTAGAGCAGCAGCTACATGGAGTGCAGTATCCCCTGCCTGCAAGTCAGAAAGCAGAAAACAAACTTGTGACACTAGTCCTTGGGTCTCACCCTACAGAATTCACACCTTCCTAAAAGATGCTCAGAGATGAAAAAAACCTATACTTAATGATGCAGCAACTAAGCTTAAATAAGGCCTGGTCAATAAAAAAACGACTGAGTGGGGAGAAAGATGACAGGAAGGGGCAAAGAGCTACTTCAGCCTGGGTTTGAGAAATGCAGCTGGGGTGCTGGTGATCTGATTTATCTAAAGCAAGTGACACATGATGCAGCTTGGAGACAGCCCAGATCCACCTCCAGCAAATGGATACGACATCTGAGGGTAGAACAAGTTTTCCCACCACAATCTTATCTTCTTTTTTTTCCCCAGGTTTGATTATTTGGTGTGCAGGTGGTCATGTATCACTTTACTCAGAAATATTCGGGTAAGTACCAGCAGCAAGATGGTTGGCATTCTCTTCACAGGTTTCCTCAGGAAAAACTGATTTTGGATCAGAGCCAGGAGGCAATCTGGGTCCAGCATAACACACTGCCCTGCCCTTGTCCTGGTGCAGTGAGGTGAAGATAGCTGTGATCAGATTTGGACATTGGTAACAGAGCCAGCAACTGTTCAAGTGAGACTGAACATGTATGTATAATGCTTTCCTGTCCCCCTGGTCTTGCACTTTGCCTTCATAAAATTAGATTTCCTCAGGACTAGTGCCTGTTGCGAACTTAGATGAGGTGTACTCCTAAATCAAATAATTCTATGGGCAAATATGGAACAACTTGAGGTAGTGCTGGGGAATGAAGGAAAGGGATATCTCTTTGGGCCAGGTTCACATCAGTTGATCTTAATATTCAGTAGCTCATTTTGCAAGTTAAAAAACTCATTTCCAAATAAAATTACACAGTAAATTTAACATGCTGAAACCCATTTTGCTTGCAGTAATATCTCATAGTGAAGAAAGAACATTAAATGTACAGTTCAGAAAACATCTTTATGATACTCAACTACACATGGAAGATTTCCCAGGAACATGAGAAAATGTGGTTAAGCACCACATAATATGTTTATTTAGCAGATTTAACATGTTTTAATGTACTAATTTCATTCCCTTTTACCACCCGATTAGGCTATGCTATAGGTACAGCAATCAATTACTTCCCTATAAAACAACTATGGATGATTAATCCTAGGCTGGACTAATCATTACTTTGAATTTAGAGCATGCTTTGTCTTCACTTTTATATCCTCTTAATTCTCCCTACTGCAAAATGCCATGAATAAAAGTATTCCAGAGGAATTCACATTTTAATAGCATCTAAATGTCAGTGAGTTGTGCTTCACAATGTCTCTGTAATGGCTATAAGACCATTAAATCACCTCATAAATAAGCAATGCTTTAAAGAAATAATGCAAATGCGATGGCAAAACAATAAACCACTGATATGCCATTACTTTAAGGCCATTCTTAAAAGCTTAGGCATTTGGTGGCACTGTGGAACACACAGAGTGAAGCAGGATTACTTGGGTAGGAATTCCTCTTCCCCACAATTGGCTGTATGCAAAGGGCACAGAGTCACAATGAGGTTCATGCACTGACCTGGTTCTTTTCATGGACAGAACAGAAAGCACTGAGCAGCACCCTAATGATGGGCAAGTGATTATAACGAGCAGCCACATGCAGACAGGTATCTCCTGCCTGCAAACAGAAACAAAGCTCTGAGCATGTAATCACAGTGAGAAAGCCTGTACTTGTCATGATGTTCAGGGATGAAATAATCCTATTAAATCAGAAAGAGCAGTAAACACCACACACTTCCACAGAACAGCAATGCTGTCTTCTCTGCAGTACAAAATCTGCTACTATGGGTGGGAAAGTTTAGCAAGAGCTGGGGTCAGGCAAGGTGAGAGCATGAATTCTTTAACTACTAATGGGAAATACTGGAAAAATAAAATGCTATCTTACTGGCACTACAAACCCCTAGTTCGTTATATTTACCCATTAAATCTGTTCTTCTGAATCACAAACCAATGCAGTTTGGAATCTCAGCTAAGGGTTACACATAATGTAGAAAGCATGAGTGGCAGCCAGAGCAGCATTCCCATGAAGGGTGGCACTTGTGCAAAAACCCCACAGGTTTCCATTTCTCTGCCCATTTTGTTATCAAGCAAAAATATTTGGCTTCCTTTTGTAGATTGTTTTTTTCTTTATCTATCATGCCAGAATCATTATAAAATAGGAGGAAAGCTGTCTGAAACTGAAACCTTGAATCTACCTCATTTGACAGATTGACACACAGTATATATGATTTGCAAATATAAAGCCTTTCACCACTGTCTGTGCAACAGTAAAACCCCATTTGGCTCCTTCTATCCTTGCTCAAGAGATGGGTACAAGTAGTGCATCACTCAGTCCTACCAAAAGCATTCCTGTGCATGATGAATACAATGGCTGGGTAGTGGGGCTTTTTCAATATAATTTATAATAAAAATCATTGCTTAAAGCCTTTCTGAGTATTTCTACAAGTTAAAGCAATATGCCTAAAACAAAGTCACACAAAAATGAACATGTTATTCCCAAAACTCACATTATTTTTGAGGTCTGCTCGAGATCCTCCAAGTAACAAAACACGAGTGCTCTGGGAATGGCTATTCTGGCAAGCCAGGTGAAGAGGTGTGTTACCTGCCTTAGAGAAATATAGGAAAATATAAAAGCCATATTCAGAAATTGGACATATGCATTAAAGTATAAAACCTCACAGATCTTCGTGCAAGAAGATCCACCCAAGGGTGGGAAACTGTTTTTTTTTTTCCAAAGATGTGAGATGAATGAACCTGGAGACTGAAAGTCACACTTCATTCTGGCAGTGGCTTACCTGTCATATAATAAAGGCAGAAATAGGACAGTATAATGATATCTGATCATTAGTGATAACGATCAAATCTGTTTACTGGAAGAAAGCTAGAAACTGTCTCATTTTTTGGTCTCAAACAGCAGTGTTAAATATTTATTTTTATTTAATGTGAAGAACTGTAATTCTTGTGTTTCGGGTTTCTCCCATGCATAGACACAAAAACAAAACTGCCATGGCACGGGATCTTTGATCCCAGCCAGGAGTGCTGCAGGGCATTGTGCAGACCAGGGTCACAACTTCTGTCTCCTTAGAAATGTAACTGAAACCAGCCTGAAGTCTAGCTGGGTCTGTAGGTGCTCTCACTGGGCAGGATACAGATTTTAGGCTATCAAGAAGCTTTGATGTTCAGAAGGCACACCAGTCTCCAGCCAAGATGGGAAGGGAGGGCAAAAAGCCACCCAAGCCCCAGAAAATCACATGCTATGGTTCCTCAAAGAAGAAAATGTGCAGAAATCAAAGAAGTGTTGGCTTGAGTATTGTCTTTCTAACATGGTGAATAATTTTATTGGTCTGACAAGTTTTTCTGGCAGCATTTCGCTTTTGCTAGTCTGAAAACATTCAGGGTTTTTGGCTCTTGGGAGCTAGAAATTAAATCACCTCAGGTAAAAAGATTTACCAGGCTTACTACACTGCCTGTTCACCTTGATTGTGTGCTTTGATTTGTCCCCCTTGCTTTCAAGACACAGGTCAAAGCTACAGAGCAAAGCTACAGAGCTTGAATTACAAAAGCCAACTCTTAGATGTGGTCTTAGGTCTTCACTTCCATATTACAGACCTGAATGTAGTCTCTAAGCTGTGGCAGAAATGAACATTTTTCTTCTCAGCTCAACTGTGTTTAAGTGTTAATTTTTTCCCTCACAGGTTTATCTCTGAAAAGCCTCTGCAATGCCTTTATCATTTGCTGTTTGTCAGGTTGGCCCTGGTGGGAAGGCAGAGGTCCTGTGCAGCAGGTGAGGACCTCAGTTCTGGGAGAATCACGGTGCCAAGGGTCAGAGCTCACAGAGTGGCTCATCTCCCTTGGGGTGACAAATCTCTCATCAGCTTCTGAGAGAGGGAGATGGTACAAGCTGTACCAGTCTGGGAATCTTCACTGAAATGTACAGACTGATGGAGAATCTAAATATAAGGCTACAATTGATCTCACTGGATGCTCTATCACAGCAGAAAAGGTTTTATTAAACCAAATTAAATGAAAATAAACTGCACCTCCAGGGTGACTGCTGTGCAGAAGGAATACAGCTACCCAAAACACAGTGTCAAATCCTTCCCATCTTCTGCTGCTTCACAGGTTTGGCAAATCTAGCAGCCCATATCTGTCCCATCTATCCAAAATCACACAATGCCCAGGTGTACGTCAACAGACTGTGGGATGCTCCTGCACATGGCACTCAACCCTGGCTGACAGAAAAGCTGTCAGAATGATAATACCTTGTCATCAGTAACACAGAAAGCTGAGAGAACAGAGAAACCATTTGGGGATTAAGTAGACTTAAGCTCTTCATTTTTCTTGAAAACAAAGGGGGTAAAAGCACGTGCAAGCATGCATGATTCCCACATTTTTCAGCAGATCCTGAGAATATATCTTGTCCATTAAAAACCACCCAAAGAGTGAAATGCAAAGGGTAAGACATCAAAGAGCACAGGAGCTGCTCAGGCAGTATTTAAGTTTGCCAGTCATATTTCAGCCATCAATCCTGCTGAGCTATTTTGTGCACATACTTTCCCAGAGAGGTTGCCTCCAGCTGACTTAAACTGGATTGTAAACTAAATCTTCTAATTCCCTGAGGCACCCAAGCATGCAGGATAACCAGATTTGCATCTTAAGCCCACACCTTTGTACAGAAGTGTATGTGTATACACAGACAAGCGTATTCAGAGATAGCAGCAAAATGGTTCACAAGACTTATGGTCAAGCATGGGAAGTTTGCTAAAATACCCTTGATACAAATCTATGGGGACATTACAGCAAAAGTAATTACAGTAAATAAAAATTGGTAGTTGAAATAATAAAGAAGAAGGAATACACATAAAATAATATCAGAGATGATGCAATCGCAGACCACAAAGTCACAACTGTACAAACATATGCTTCTATAATGCCTATATACATGTGCACATACAGAAACACTATGCCCAGGCAACATGCCTCTTTATTCTAAATCCTAGACTTTGACCAGCTCTTTTCTTTCCCAGCACCTTTCAGTTGTTGTTTTAGAGACACATTTACCAAAAATGCTCAGAGATCCCCATAAGCAATCCCAAAGCCCTCTCCCTGTCACACAGGGCCCAGTGCCAGCCGTGTGATCTGACCAACCCAGCAGCACAGCTGTCCAAACCCTGACTCTGCTCACACCATGGGCTGCTACCCCCATTTCCTGGACTATTCCATTAACTTCTGAATTACTGAAGTGCCCCTCGGTTATAACAATTAGAGTGGAACTAAACCCCTTTACTTTGTTATTCTTTCTTCTACATGGCTCTCAAGGTATTATAAATACCAAAAGGAACATAATCCAGGTTCATTACAAGATTCTGGGAAGCGACTGTGCTAATATATTAGGAAGAACTTAGTAACAAAAGGGTATTTTTTTTGTTTGTTTGTTTCCCTCTGTGGCTTACATTCTTTTGGTTGTTTAATTTCTAGAAAAAAAACAGATTTTCAATACCATTTTCTTATTAGTACAATTCATTTCCATTTTAAATTGCCCCAATCACATTGAATCTCCTCAGTATAAATTAGAGCACCATGGAGATTTCCACAGGAATGGCAGTGTTCCTCAGCTGTAATTAATGTATCATTCAACACGTTATTGAGTTTCTCCTGCATCAGCTGTCAAAATATGAATTTCCTAATGCCTGTGGATGAACCATCCAGGCGTGATAAATGAAAAGAAAAAGAAGAAAAAAATCCCACTAAGAGCTGGTCTCCCACCTGCTGAGAAATGCCATGGCCAGAAATCTCCAGTTCTGAGAATCAGCCACCTTAGACCAGAATTGAAAGCTCCTCCTCCATGGGTCTCACCTTGTTCTTGGCAAGAACATTGGCTCCTGCTTTAACAAGCACTTTGGCAGACTGACTGAATCCATGCCAACAAGCTTCATGAAGAGCAGTGTTCCCATCCTGAAGAGCACACACACAAGAGGAGAATGTTAAGGGCTGTATAACCAACCTACTCCCTTAAAAATATTTTCATTTCCTACTAGCTTATTTTCTATTTTATTTTTAGAAGAGGGTAAAAATACTGTTATTTGTCTGGCACTTGAAATTAGTTTTATTTACTCCTAAATTAAACTTACAGCCTGGGATTCTCAAGTTTCTGTGATAATCATGGGAATTGTGTAGTCTTTTGCATAGTGCATAGTATGGTTGTACATTCCTTTAATCCATCCCTTAATGAGCTGAGAACAGACTCTTCAAGCAAAAACTATCAGCCTAATATAAAAGCATAATTAAATCAGTCATTTGTATTAAAGAGATGGTACAGCTTTTTTTTCCAATGTAATCGTTCCAATTACTCTTGAAGCATCAGACACTTATTAAGTAGTATAAACTGTAACTTTCTCTCTGAGACCTTAACATTACTGGCTGCCAAAGCTGCCATCCCATAGGGCTTTTGTTTTGTCTCTTACCTTATCTTGTCTGTCCAAGGCACAGCCCTCTTGAATCAGAGTTGCTATTATATCAGTGTTCCCTACCACAGCAGCCCGGTGCAATGCTGTCTGGTCACCCTGCAAAAAGAAGCAAATTTGTGATTGGTACAATTCCCACCTTACTTTGACTTAATGCAAATGCAGGCAACACACACATGGGGTGCATCTTTGACATACATACTGTTTAAATCCAAGCTGCCTTTGAAAACAGCCCCCCTAAACAACTACCATAAAAGTTTCCAAGATGAATGAAGTCATTGCAAGTATCAGAGCTACAAACCATTTAGAGAAGTTTGCAAGTCATCACAATCCCATATACAGCACTGATGCATTCTAAAAACATGGCAGTATAAGAAGGCAATGAATTGGACACATTTGGCTCTACATGTCTAATAGTCATCAGTGTCTGTGGGGAACTAAAGGGAATTACAGGCTGTCGTAATTCATCATAATGATCCTCCAGGACTTACACTAACTGGATAAGGCTCTCCTGCTCTGGCTCTGATTGCTCCATCAGCCCTGCTTAGGATAAGGAGCATGAGATGAGATTGGTCTCTTCAGCACCTCTGATGAATTTACCAATTAGTGCTAAGAGTGGAGGCGAATTTACGATGTGAATCACAACTACAGGACCATCCCCTTTTTTCACTCGAGCAACTGAGCGATCTTGAGGTCCAAAGGATTTTCATTTCTCATTGACCTGCCACGTAGCAGCAACAAGCAAGTCTCCTACATCAGTTTATCTCCTTTAAGGCCCACCATTCCAACAGAAATTATGCTGATGTGGTCATCTTGTCTGACTGCCCATCTCCTCTCTAACAACCCCTGAACTCATTTGCTGAGCTAGAGAGCCCAAGGTTAGTTTTCTGCAATCCTTCCAGAAACTGAAGACTAGGGAAACTTAAACCATTGTCCCTGCCCATCAGGGGTTATCTATATGTTTTTATGTACATGCTGGTGAGAACCTGATAAAAGAGAGGCAAGAGAAGCATTTATGAAGCAGTGTGCAGAGATGTAATACAGGGATCAATGGGAAAAGGAGCTGCAGTAGCTCCACTGCTGCCACAACAACTGATCTTGGCTTTCCATTGAAGTTGCTTTGAACCAGCAATGCCAAAGCACAGCCTGAGTCGAGGAACAGAGACAGGCTTCAAAGCTGCACACAGACTTTTTTGGGATGAATAAACAGATTTGGAATCCAATCCCTTTCTGCTTATCTAGATAATGGTCACCACAAACATATGCAAGGCAGAGATATGCGATGTGTCCTAAAAAATCTTGCAGGAAACCAAGCCCCAAATAGACACAAAATTTCTCTGCTAAAATTCTTTATCAGATAATAGCATATTGTATTAAATACTAAAATTAGAAGAATTTTTGTATTTTTTATTCTAGAGTGTCCAAGTCTTTCAATAACTGGCTTATTTGAACAATTTGTTCTCAAAGGCAATTAGCAGCTGACTTAAAAATTGGTCTTGGTGGGGTTCTTTTGTGCTAATGACACCAAAATAGTTATTAATCTCTTAAAAAATGAGCATTGCCAACCACAACCTTTCAGTAACCCCTACCATCAAATCATTAAATTGGCTTATAATCATGAAGTTGATTTTTAAAAATTGTGTTGAAGGTGCTTTTTAAAAACCTGCTCTTTTTTTTGTTGTTGTTTCTAGAGGTTACATATTTTTACTTTTGGTCTTGTGACTAGAAATGTATTTTAAAAGATTTCAACAAAGACAGTAAAGCTTCCAGGAAGTGGGAACAAAATGTATTGGAAAATTGACAGCATGGCAAGTGCTCTGAACTTATGTATTTGTTCCAAATTCAAAGACAACCAAAATGTTATGGAAAATGTCCAAATTATACCATCTCACAAATGTCAAATAGTTACCAGTTACTATGACAACATGGAAATCTGCTCACCAACAAACTGAGGAAGAATTTTAGATCTGATTTTTGATAATGGCACAGCTACTGTTACTGCAGTAGTGAGTCATGTGGGACAATGCAAAAATCATTTTATCTGACTATCATGTAATGGAAAGTAATCTGCCAAGCTACCCCTGCCAAGTGGTACTGATGCACCAGCAAACCTACAGAAGATATTATAAAAACAGACCAAAACAAAATGGCATATGCCATTGCAATGGATGGAATCTGAACAATGAATGGTTGGTTCCTAATGCTTTACAGTCATAGAAATCACTGTGGAGAAGACAAATTTGGGGCAGGAATGCACTGTACAGGATTTGGTTTGTAATTAATTATCTTCTTACTGGGACAGTTTAAATCAAGGCTGTTCCTGTCCCCATCACAGTAACTGCACTGAGGTTAAAGACTATCCAGCTTTTGGGGCTTTGTTGATATGACAGCTACTTCTAACAGTATTTCATTTAAATTTTATACAAACAGATTTGTCTGTTTGGAAAGTGGGGAGCACGCCTCACTGCTGCAAGACCAGGTCCCCCTTGGTAATCCCAACCCACGTGCTGGGGGGCCATGCACTGGGACTGCAGAGCAGCACTGGGACAACTTCAGCCATGTTTAAGCTTTGTCCTAAAATACAATCTGGTCCCTGAAGTAGGTGAAGGGACACAAGTCCTGCAAATGACAGGCTCAGATGCCTCCTGCCCAAGGTATGGGCTTTGCTTATGACATCTTCCCCACACAAGCACCCAAGAGTAAGGTCCAACCCACACCCTGACTGGACAAAATAGGCACCTCATCCGTGTAACAGGGAGTGTCAAAGGATGTCTCAAACCTTGTTTCACCAACTGAAGCACCTCCCAGTGAAGAGAGGGCATGTATCATTGTCCTGGTGAGGGTCTGTCCCTACCACCACCAGACCCCTCAGCCAGCAGGACAGGGCAGCACCTGGTCCACTGTTCTCTTATACCTCAGCACAAACATTAACCTTAAACTGCTTAAAGTGCTGTGGAAGCTGAACTGCCAGGTTGTGATGGCTTCTGTGTGACAGCCACTGAACAACCCAGGCATGGAGAGCACAGCCATCCTATAAATAACAGTGCCTGCACCACTGCACTCTAACCTGCCTTCCCTCCCCATCAGTAGTGGAGCAAATCCCTGCCTTGCTTTTCATGGAGTCCAAAACAGATTAGTTGTGTTTTTTTCACAGCATGAATTTTCAGGCAGTATAATCACTGACTTGTGTACCTTTTATTAATTGCTGAAATAAATGTCTCTGAAAGCACTCACTAGAATTCTGCCTTTAGCAAAGCATTAGGGGTCTGTTCCAGAGGCTCAGAGAGCAATTACACCGGTAAATGCGTATTAACTGTCCAGACTATTATGTTGGGCACAATTTATGATCCTGTTTCCAAGAGATTTATGCCTTAGAAACAGACTGCAGATCAGTAACAATGAAGAGAGACAACTCCAGTGCTGTGTCACAGAAACATGACCTTGACAGAAACAACAATCTGCCCAAATGCAGATGTGGGCCCAAAGCCAAAAAGACTTAAGTGAGGCTCAACAGAAGTAAAGCACTAAGGTCTACACTGGTGAATCTCAAACCCCTTCCTCAGACTCTGCCTAGCCCTGAAGACAGCTCAAACTCAGGGGATTCCACTCCAACATGCCAGCTTGCAAGACATACAGGGCACTGCATCATGGTGGCATGGCACACCCTGGCCCTGCACAGTCCTAATGCAGGCAGCTCCCCTCCTCTGTCTGCCCCTGTGAGTGCCCTCCTCGCACGCCTGATGGAAGAAGATCCACACATGTTGCAGGTACAGCCACCACCCTTCAAAATTAAGCCGTGGAGGAAGTGGCCGCTGGCTCTTCCACAGTAGTCCAGAGCTAGGAGTACTCACTCACTTTGTCTTGCCATGGCAGCACTGAAGTGTTAAAAGTTCCCCACTTTTAGGAAAAAAATCTTGGTATTCATTGGGATAGTAAGAGGCTGACACTGGGAGACTGGGATAGAAATCTACGTGCCTCTTACACAGAGAATGCAGGACTGCACATCTGAGAGCTCTACCTGTAACAGGGCTCCTGCACAGCAGCAGGAACATTGCCAGAGGGGGGAACCATGCTCATTACAGGGGGCTTAAACACCTGCTTTCAGGAGAGGCTTACAGTCTGGGAGTCCTGAAGAAAGGCAGACATCTAAATCTTGATTTTCCCCCATGGACTTCGGCATTATTCTTTCTTTAGCACTTCTCTGTTGGCATGGCTGTTGGCACCAGTGTCCTGGTGTTTGCAACTACCTCCTTGAGCTTCCTCATATGCTGACTATCTTAAAACAGTGAATGCAACTACTGGGACCAGGCACTTGGAAATCGGGCAGGTATCTATTTACATCTGAAGTTCACCCCAAGGGAAAGGAAACAACACAAGTGACTTCCAAAACAGTCTCAGGTAGACTTCTGACAGCTCTCCTGGGTTACTGGAGTCTCTCTTTTAGACTCTACAGACCTAAATTAATGAGATTGGGTTTACATTAGGTTGTAATACATGTTAATTTTTCCTTTTTCTGACTTAAAAAACCCCAACCTATAACCACATTTTTTCCTGCAAATTCCTATTCTCCAGAGCATCCAACAGTTGTACAGTCTCCTTTAAAGCCCTTCTCCTACGTAAAGGGAGAAAAGTTTCCCACTTTGCCTCCTGTGTTTGCAGAAATCAACAGACTATCTTGCCACAGGAGAATTGCACCAGAATCACAGAATGGTTTGGTTTGGAAGGGACCCTAAAGATCATTTGGTTCCAACTCCCTTCCCATGAGCAGGGACATCTTCTACTGGACCAGGTTGCCTGTCCAGCCAGGCCTTGCATACTTCAGTGATAAAGCATCCACAACTTTGACCAACCAAAAAATAAACAACCAAAACAACCAGAAAAAACTCATGGCTTCAATCTCTAACACAAAGTGATGAACAGCACTTGTAAAGTCATATAATATAAAATCAAACCACTAAATTCACAGTAGAAGTATCAAAATATTCTAAAGTTAAAATAGCACCAAGTGTTAAATATTTGCAGGAGGATACAAGCATATGTGGATATCCTGAAGCAGCTGTACAGAAAGGGAACTGAATATGCTCTCAGGTTTCTCAGTGTCTCTGTGCTGCTCTCCTCCTTTGCTAGAGAGGCAGTCATGATACACAGTCAAGAACAACTTCACTCTGCACAATAAATGATGATGCATTACCAGCAGAAGTGATCAAGGCATGAAAAATCATCGTGAACAAAACAAATTACAGCTTAAATGAAATGGGACCACAGGAATAAGCCACTTTGCATATTTTCATTCAGCTAGAAATGATTATGAACCCTGGGCTATTGTTCCATTTGAAACTAATTTTCTGCTTCTTAAACTGGAGCTTCCAGAAAGGAAGTTTGGGGGCCTTTGTCTTTTGTTTTAAATCAGCTTGTTTTCCCGTTATAATTCCAAGGGTGCAGCCAGGGCAGAGGCCGGATGCAGAGCATGGAGTGCCAAGCAGCCATGCAGCCGTGCAGCCGTGCAGCCATGCAGCGTGGGGAGCTCGGCCACGCCGCAGCGCCGCACCGGGGGTCACAGCATGCACCGGGATGGGCGCAGCGCAGCGGGGATGCACAAGAGCTCTAACCTCCTTCTCTCTCTCTGATCTTCTAGGTTCCTTCCTAGCCTTTCTCTTCTGGTTTCTCTTATTTTTTTCATCCTTGATTTCCTTCACCGGGACAATTTTCTCCTGGACTATTTCTGAGGTTTGTGCTGTGTGGACACTCATGGACCACTCAGAGATGGCACTGGGATCCCAGTAAGAGTTGTCAGCATTGGCAGGGAGAAGGAAGGAGTCAGCTCCCGGAGTGGCATACTCTACAGAGCTGGACTCCACCGGCTGAAATTCATAATAATCCCACTCCAGGCCACTGGAGGTCATTCTTCAACTAATTCTTAAGGCTCTTACCGTGCTTAGGGAATATATCTGTAGAACATGAAAGGGAGCATTTTAATCTCTCCACAACAATTAGCAGCTTTTAAGTTTCTGCTTATCATCTGGCAAATTAAAACTTAGTCTTGAATTTGATCAAAACTCAGAAATAATGTCTTAGGTTTCTCTTGTTATTTTGAAAAATAAAATGTAGGTGATCTTTTTGGATTTTTGTGTGCTATCACAACAATGCCATAGACTAAAATCAACAAAATAATTTGCTTTTCAATTAAATATAATACTCCCCACTCTCACAGGTATTTTTATATCTGAACCTACATCTCTATTCCTGAAAAACAGCAATGAAACATACAGATATTATTCAACACTTGAGACTAAGATGCCTTCACTGCCATATAAGCACACAGTAAAAGTGACTGAAGGCATAATCAAACTAAAAGAGACAACAAACACATTCTGTGGGGTATAAACTGTAAAAGTTAATTATACAAGGAGAAACCATAAGCAGAGAACCTTCTTTGAAGACCTATGTAAAAGGAAAGCACATATATTTTAGTTAATACCTATTGCAAGCAAAAATCTTCATTTGGAATTTTAGATTTCCCCCTCCTATAAGAAAAATGCAAACATACCCTTTGAAATTCAGCAGCTCCTGACGCTCTCCTCAATCCCAACCAAATTACTACTAAATACAGAGCTACACATCAAAATACATTTTAAAGGAACAGTATCTATGAATCCAGTATGCATCTACTCTGCTCATATTAATCACCACACTTAGAAGCATTATCCAATTATTGTGAACAAAGTCCCTGAGAAGCTCATAAGACAATACATCTTCTATGAGCTGAGTATTTCTACAAGCACAAGACTCTTCACTGAACTGAAATTATGCTAAACACTGATTTACTGGTTTCCATCATGGCTATCATTTACATATAAACAGCATAGACTTTATTCCAAGATGATTGAAAAAAACAGACTTATTCAAAAAACAGTTTCCACAGAAACTCAATTTGACCAAATTACCTCTTGCTTTTTTAAAGCAGCAGTTTTCTCAGGAAAACTGGCAGTATTTGTAAAGTATCTACAATTTTGTCTTAAATACCTAATGAACCATTTCTGCTGGGCTAAGTCAAAAAGCATACCCAGGATAAATCTGAATAAACCGATTCTCCCATTGCACTTGCAAATTGCTCCATTTCACAGATGGGCACAGGGAAAGAATAAAGAGCACAGGAAGCGAAGTTTCTTCCTGGAAAAACAAGTTTCCCTGCAGAAAGCTGGCCACATCAGTACCCCAGCCCCAAGCTTGACAGGCAGACTGCTCACATCTCACAGGGAATCAGCTACTCATGCAGAGAAACAAACCAGTTTTCCAGTTGCTACAGACTTCTAACTCTCTAGATGCAAATGCCCAAAGGCATTTTTAAAAGGCACCCAGACATTTCCAGTGTCCTTCTACTAGTCATACAAGTGCCTCTACTAACATCTTTGGACCTCTGTGGCCTTTGAAGACTCTCCATTTTATATATTACAGGGGGAACAAAAGCAACCCTACTTCAAACTTCTTCCAGCATGCCAACCAGAAGTTAGCAGTTAATTTGAAGAAATCATGGTTATTCTACTGATATTGCACATTTCAGCATATACATTTATTCACCAGTGAGGGAACTAAAACCATGTTACCTGTCATTCCAAAGCACCTTAAAGCCCAGTCCTAGATTAGAACTACTCTTTCAGAAACCCAAAAAATTCCAGCAGCTTACATATTTTACCAAATGAACACAAACTACCCTTTGCTAAATTCAAAGCTCTTTTTTGTGCTGATGCCTCACCACACAACAACCTCAGAGATGTGACCACCCCACATGAAGCATGGTGCCATCAGGATGATCTCCCCATCACACAGCACTGTGCTATGGGCAGCTGTTTTGGATGCTGAGGGATGTGTCTACTCAAAAAGCATCTCCCACTTCAGGCAAACATCACAATGGGTTGTGTCCCCTACCTGATGTCCTCCAGCAGGTTCCCACAATGAACTCCTGGTGCATTTCTACCAGAAGCAGCAGATGATGACTCTCACACCTGCCTGGCACAAGCAGAGCTCTTATAATGTTCTGCAGCTTGAACAAGAGGACTAAGCTATTCACTGAAAACCACCACATTTTACATTGTTTCCCATGCACTTTTGCATTCTCAAATAAGAGGTTACATCTCTGACTTGGAAAATAGAGAGATTTTGTTTCCTTTTAATCCTACTTCAAAGAAGTGAATGTCTACTGTTATTTGCAAATCACTTTATCCCCTCCACCCCAAGTTAGAAGGTTGCATCTACTTACATCATCCTGAATATCCAGATCACAACCTGCCTTCAACAAAACCTGGACAACGTGGAGATGGCCCTTGTAGGCAGCAAGATGCAGGGGGGTCCGGCCATGCTACGAATGAGAAGAAAATAATAATACGTTAAGGTGAATTTTTATGCATAGTAGTTGAATAGAGTTTTATCTCCTTTTCATCATTCTTCTGTTTGTACCTCACTGTCTAAAGCCTGCAATAGTAGCAACTGACATGTATTAGTGTGACAAAGGCTTTACCTTGGTTTTGTGAAAGTGAAAACTTTTCCTCCACCTTCTGCAACATTTCAGTGACTCTCTACAAAAGGGACATTATACTCACATAAAGGTGCTTCCTTACAAATTCAGATCCTGTGTCCATGCCTAAGCAGAATTCATGACCCTTTTGTTTCTGTCTCTCTGGAGCACAGAACTGTCAGCTGCTGTCACCTTCCCTCTGTACAGCCAAGATGCAATAACTGGCTAATTCATATATTGTAATGGGCACTGTCTTTGCAACAGAGATAAGAATTACTGAGCTGTTGCACATGACAGATGCTTCCCTGAAAAGGAATGGAAGGCTTGTAGTCACTCCAAGTGACTTCACGTGTATGACAACCAACTTCACTTTGCTAAAAATCTGCCAGGTTTTTTTCAGACAATACTTATTTTTACCCTGCTCTAAAATCTCGAAGTGAGTGAAACACCTTAAGATCTGTGAAACCACAGTAAAACTATTCACTGCAGATTATTTAATGTCTGTAAAGAAAATGGGATTCCAGCAATTGCTAAATTCACAAAGTATCTTCACAAGGAATGCAGTTTTTTCCACTAGGCATTTTGTGAGGGTCACATTAAAAGTCACGCGACTCTTCACCTGTATCATGTATCTATTCCTTCACTACCACTGTTGTCCATTTTTCTACCCAATGATTTATCCTGCAAAGGAAGATAAATAGCCCTAATACATCCACCACAGAAGGGGCAAACACTTCAAGAGCTGTCTGACTAGTGGCTTGAAGTACACAGAAGGCAACCATTGGCTCTCTGATTTTCAGCAACTTCTTCAGTAAGGAAACTACTTCAAGTATATAATAAACCAAGCTCCAGACAAGATTGTTTTCATACAGCAAAACCCATACCCACATATCTGGTAAAGTTTTGTTAACTCAGCCACTTCAGAGCAGAAAGGAAAAACACTGTTGGGAATCAAGAATGGCTGAGGGCAAAACGTGCCATTATTGATTAATTGTGCTGTGCTTCAGAAACATTAACTGTTGATTAATTGTCCTACATTATTGACTTAAAGGGGCAGATCTGGGGACAAAATCCTCACTCATACTATGGCACGTGGGTCTCTCAAAACCTGCAGGCTGTCCCCTGCTGGCAGCAGCAGCTCATTCCCGTGAGAGAAACTTCCATTCTTGCCCTTCTAAAAGCATGGGAAGGGCTCATTTTTGCTGTCACCACTGCCCCTGGGCACCATCCAGCCTCCTGTCTGGGTGTCTCTGGCTCGATCTGGCCACAGGTCCCTAAAATCCTGTCCCTATATCGAAGGGCACTGAGCTGCACTGACCACACTTCCTTCTCCATCAGCCTGAAGGAGAGTCAGGAGTATGTTGCTGTTCCAGCTAACTCAATAGCAGGAGGCATAAAATCCCCAGGCAATAGAGGGGTAAGAAATAAAAATAAACTAAAAGAAAAAAAATAAAATTAAAAAAAAAAACAAATGGAAAAATCATTCCCAACAATGAACAGTATGTTTGGATTATGAATATATGCTTCAGCACATTCAGATTTACAGGTCCCAACTTTCTACATTCCTTAATGCCAATAAGTAAATCACCTAATCCAGGCATCTATCTCACTTCCTGGAACGTTATTAATACACCATGAAAACAATTTATAGTAATCTGTGCATGGAGAAGGAAAAATCCCAAACAAACCCAACTTGAAGCCAGCTCATGTGCTTTAAAAGGAAAGTGTCAACAACATGAATATATATTCCCACAGGGAAACTTTCTGATAAGATAACCAGCTCTAACCACTAAAAAAATGTTGACAGGCAGTTAAAGGTACTTTGTTAAAAGTAAGCTATGAAAGCAGAATAGGAGTTTATTTGAATATAAGGGACATATTTTCCTCACCAAACACCTTCCTGGGCAATTGCCACATGAACCATGCCTGTTGGCACAGCTGAGCTGGAAGACTAAAGGATCATTGTTATTCCAGAGTGTTTGTGTGTTTCAGATTCCCTATCCAGAAACATAGGTTGAGAGGCATCTCACCTACTGGAGAACCCTGAAGAGAGGCCTTCAGGAACCAGAGTTTCCAGACACATGCAGTCCTTGAGTTCTCCCTACTTTAAAGGGACACCATAAACAAAAACTCTGACACTAATCAGGAGAGGAGACTGGGAAGGAAGATCAATTCCAGCATATTACATTGATTAGAGGCTCAGGCGTTTGGAAGAGCACCGATCATCTCAAGATTAATCACAACCCTGCAAGAGCCAGCAGTGCCAGATTTTCTTTTTCTTCCCAGCAACATCAAAATGAGAGCAGAGACGGGTGGTAGAGCTGGACACTGTTCCAGTGCAGGCAATGCAAACACTGGACAAACATCCAATCCCCACACAAACACACACACAGGTGTGAATGCACACACACATGCACACATCAATCCAGAACAAACGGTGAGGAAGACACAAGGCAATCTGGATGCTCCTCGTGCTGTAATGACAAACTTGGAGCAGAGCAAGCTTTGGAGACAAACATTGAACCATGCCACAGCAGCAACTCAGGGCTGCTCTTGCCTTCATTTCTTTAAGTCAAACCACCAGCCCACCAAGTTTTTCTCTCACAGCAATTCATCCTACCCAAAATATACAGGGGGCAAAGAGATGAAGGCAGACAGACAAAACTCCCTCTGTGTGTCTCCTCCATAAAGACATTCTGCACTCAATGCAGCAACAAAGAAGGGGTTTATCTGAATACACACAAGGGTCCCAAGGGGAAAGAACACATACAAACCAGAGTGTCTCCTAGATGCTCACTTCAAGGGCACAACACCAAACCCAGGGACTGACTTAGAAGCTTGTAAGCCTTGCCAAATATGAACTGCAATGTTTTGGGGATTATTACAAATACAAATGAGAAACTGCTACAACTTGGGATTAATGAACCAATAAAGCAGTCATTCATATGTAAAAAAAAGGCAATTTGGACTTCTATTCAAATGTAAACAATTGCTTCATCAGGCAACAAATCATACAAATGGCCTTGTGTCACGGACTTATTGACAAAATAAATGGGACCTATTGGACTAAGGCTGCAACTTCCAGCCACAGTGACACACTGCTGTAGCTGTGGGGTGTATCGGGTCGCAGCCAAGCACTGTGAGCAGCCACGTGAACGTCATTAGTAAAATGCAAGGGTAGGTTTTGGTCTGCATTAAATCTGTGCTCTAACTTCCAGACATTGACAGGCAGCTGTCGATACACACCACTTAAAAGCAGAGTCCTGTCAGCATCGCTGCCAATGCACATGCACTCCACAACCAAACCCATACAGGGGGGCCTTAGCACCATAAGCTCCATGACCTTTCCTTGTGTTTCTGCATCTGTAGGTACTTTTCTGCAGGTACACTCAGTTCTCCATATCACCCTACTCTTGTGATGCACAAGGACTGTTATTTATTCATCCGTTCTGAACTCATAAACAACATGCCTGTCCACATTTTATTGGAAACCCTGAAAGCAAAATCCAAGTCCTGTCACATTGTTCACACTGATGATTTGTTGGACTGTTCTCCATGAATAACCTGCTCACTCAAGTCAGCAGAAAGTTTCTCATTGACCTCAATAGGCATTCAGCAAGTTCCTTAGTGTTTGTTAGTCCCTTTTAATTTATCTTTATTTATTGTTTAAAACAGACACAAATAGCTTTTCAAACTGAAGGACTGCAAAAATGTGAAAGCACCAAAATAGATTTATTTTTTTGTTTCTGTCTTAGCTTAAAAAAAAAAAAAAAAAAGAGAGAGACTGCTTTAAAGAACTCAACATGCTCTGAAGTTGAGACTTGAAGTATCCCAGCATTACAGAAGTGTTGCCATATGGTGTGGTCATAACATGACTATTTCAAAAGTTAAATCAAGCAAATACTGAATCAAAACTGAAGCACTACCTTTTGCATTTCTTTAGGGCTTTTTTTCCGAATGATCATCCATTCTCTGCAGAATTCAACTTTATAGCTATGAGCAATGCAGGAGCCTGTTCCAGCACAAGTTTCTCATGGATTCACAGGCCTTTTTCAGGCATCCATCTGCTTTGGTATTAGTCTGCCTCCATAGGGATCTCTGCATCCCTATGGATCTCCATGGGCCGCAGGAGCACAGCTGCTTCACCATGGTCTGCACCAGGGGCTGCAGGGGAATGTCAGCTCCAGTACCTGGAACACCTCCTCCCACTCCTTCTGCACGGACCTTGGTGTCTGCAGAGCTGTTCCTCTCACATGTTCTCGCTGCTGCTCCCCGGCTGTAATTACATCGTCTCTGTAACTTTTTTTCTTCCTTCTTAAGTATGTTATCCCAGAGGGGCTACCACCATTTCTGACTGGCCAAGCCTTGACCAGCAGCACATCCATCTTGGAGCCCCCCTGGCAGTGGCTCTGCCAGACCTGGAGAAGCTTTTGGCAGCTTCTCACAGAAACCACAGAAACCTGTAGCCCTTCCTGCTACCAAAGCCTGGCTATGCAAACCAAATACCCTCAGGAAAAGAACAACAACATCCTGGGAGAACAGCAAGGCCCATCAGCTCAGCAAAAGTCCTAGGACTTTTGTGCCAAAGATGCAGCTGTCAATTTCACTGAAAGAGAGCTCTACTACAAAAGAACTGAAAGAAGGGATCAGCTTTCTTGCTTGGAAGAAAAGTTCTTAGTTTTCCAGTTTTTGTAGCTTATTCACCAAAGTACTCGATGAAGGCCTGTTGGATCAATCAGTATGTATGACCAGTTGTTCAGGGTATTTTGCCCTTTCCATAAAGGAATCAGCTACACATTTCACACCTGTGAAGAATGTCAGACAAAAAGGTGTAAAAAACGGAAATTATCCCTTTGTCACATCAGGCAGAGCAGCAACAGAGCACCCTGACCAAGCAGGTGCCATTTGAGAAGAGCAGAGCCACTCTGCTGAGCACCACACCTGCCCTGGGCCACAACCCCAGTGGCTGTGGCAGAGGTCCAGCACCACAAGTGCTCGATGCATTGTGCCAGGCAGTGCCACCAGCCCTCTCCACTGTGGGCTCCCTGATGTCAGATTGTTGTCACTCGTGTGACCTAGCAGCCATCAGCTCCTCTCCATGTATTTTAAAAGGCCCCAAATCTGGAATGAGCCCAAGTGTCCCTCACTGGAGTCAGAGGAGGCACACATTTCCATACTGACTTCATCTGCACAGATGCCTTGCGAGTAATGCTGTCAAAATGAAACAAATGCATCCTCACTATAATGCTAAAGTCAGCACCTGGACATGCGTTTGTGTACTGTCCACTGGATTTTGTTTCTTTCACATTCTTCCTCTTTTTTTCTGAAATCATCTACTTAGAAGTGACCAAAATGAAATACTATTTTTCAGCTGAATTGTTGTTTACTGAAGCAACAATTAACCACATCATATGACCTTCCAACAGGACAAAACCAGAACTGGAAAAGTAAGCTATAAGGTATTTACTAGCACTTGGTTTGTTACAGAAAATATCCTTCATTTTTCTTGAGCTATGCTCGATTAATCCTTTTTGAATAAAGAACTCTAGCATTTATCTCTAGATCCTGGACACTTTAATCTGTGGCTCTGCAGTGTTATTCACAACAACTGGTCTGTGCTTACAGATGCGGATCAGAAATACATTTAAAGCCTGCTATGATGAGGGAACTTTTTCTTTCCCTCCAAAGAGCTTTGTCTCCATGTATCTTCCTCCAATAAAATGCAGAGAATTCAGCAGGAAGTTTGATTGACAAGTACCAAATCTCTTTTTTTTTCTTTTTTGGAAGCAAACCCCTATAATTTATAATTAGGCAGAATAAACTGAAAACTACTAATAAAAGCAGAAGACATACAGGTAAATCAGAACTAAGGCATGCACATGGATAAATTTATTTTTATGCTTTATTGTGCAATGAGTTTTATATTGGGGGAGAAGAGAGTTCTGGGTTTCAATTTATCTGAAAGCTTGGTCTATTTTACTGCACAGCAAAAAGTCTGCCATCCAATTTCCATTCTAAAATTAAGAACCTATATCCTGAAAGTTGTTCTTATTTTGTGCTTGCTCTGCTTAGTAGAAGAATGCACAAAAGAACCTGTTGCTGTGATGGCTAAAAAACCCCTCCAGATTTCCAGTTTCAGTATACTTGAGTCTAATTTATAAATACTTGCTCTTGTGACAACCTTGTCCTTAACTTTAAACAGCTCTTTCTCCTTCCAGCCTTTGTGTGTCATCAGATTAGCAAGCCAAGCTCTTCCAGGCTATGTTTATACAGCCTGTGGTAGGCAAATATGCACATGGTCTCCCTATGCAGCTGACTGGGTGAGAGCCAGATGCAAACTCCACACTGTGTACACCTGGACAAGGCACCACAGAGCCTGAATGGATGGGCTCTGGTGAGGGCACCAGGCTGGTCTCACACCTCTTGGCTCTGAGCATTGAGCATGGGAGGAGTAAGAGTCTGTGTGCCTTCAAAACACGCCATACACACAGCCTTGGCTGCTGTCTGAGAGTCCCTGCTCCTCTGTGTGCTCTCCTCCACAGTCTTGCAGATCTGACTGCATCTCTTCTGAGCAGGGCTTGTCACCAGGCTACCCAAGTACCTCATCTGTACTCTTAGTGTGCTGGGATGCATCCAGAATGACAGCAGGGACGACTTTTGTCATCTTCCCTCTCTGGGCTACACGGGAAATGACCCACAACTTCTGGGAAAGAATAGCTACAATGCTGTAGTACCTGGTGAGCTACAGGGATGGCCTCAGAGCTCACAGCTCTCCAGCATGCTTGGCAAGCACATGTCTCCACAGAAACACCAGCACTTTGCACCTGGCTGCAATTTTGCTGCCAAATGATTTATTTTGATTTTCCATACAGGGCAGAACAACAAAGCAAGGGAGCCACCTATGTCACATAGGAAAGAAAAACTTGTCAACTCTAGGAAATCTGCATTATAGCAAAATAACCTGATATTGTGTTTCAAAGTCAAATCTACACTATTTGTTTTTGCTGTAATTAATAGAGGTCCCTCAGCAGCCTCAAAGCTCATAATCTAAAAAAAAAAAAACCAACAAAAAACAAATAAACAAAAGAAAACTCTGAGCTACCATTCAGGTATGTGTAAGTCAGTACTTCCTGATCTATTACTGCCTACCTTTAATAGCTGTTCATCAGCTACAGAGCTACTTGGACAACAGAACCAGCCAGCCATCTATATGGGACTATGCATGCTTATTACATCTGTGCTTTGTATCTACCAGCAAGAAACTACTTATTTTGGCAAACAAAACTGACAAACACAGCTGTCCTTGGATCACTCCAACTTTCAAAATAAATGTTATCTACAACTCAAACACTGTGAAGGGACTGAAAACAACTATCACTGACAGATAAGCATTCTGCCTTTTCCTCTTTTTATCAAATGTGCTTTCTATCTGTAAATATTAGCTTCCATACATATGTAATGTTCAAAACCAATATGGAAAAACAAATAAAAGTAGATAGGATGGAGAACAACAGTTCATCAAAACAACACACCCCAAATTTTATGTTACAGTTCTAAAGATTTGACTTACCTAGTTCTTTTTAAGTTTTTTAAGTTTTTTGATGAAACCTCTGCAACAGGTAATTACATCTCATCTTTTCTAAGACAGTCGTATTTATAACACGTTGAACATTAGGAACAGGTGAATATCAGTTTGAACTCACTTGTATCTAAGCAGAAATCCTTTGACTCTGACTTTTCTCAAAGGTATGGGGAACACAAATTGCAAGCCCCAAGTTTGGAAGGGACTACAGGGAACAAATCAATGAAGATGTTATGTATAAAGGAGGCTGCTGCACCAAGGGACTTCAGCAGCAAGAAACACTTTCTGCATCCCTTTACCCTGCCACAAGAGGTGGCTTTTCCCCATCCCCTCACCCAGGGAGATGGGTGCCCTGAACCGCCTTCCCTTGACGGTGATGAATCGCTCCATTCATCAGGTCACACAATGTTCAAAAGTCAATGCACGCTTTGAAAAAACGTTGCTCCCCTCTGTCGACACAGTGTGTTTGCAAGGACTAAGTGTCCATCACAGCTGCACCCACTGCAAAGGGTATAAACACGAGACATACACTATACTGCAAATCTTCGTGAGCTAATAAGTGCAAACTTTCAGGAAATCTGAGCGTTAACTTCAGTCACATTCAGATTGGTAAAGCTAGGGGGGCATTTTCACAGACAATGCTCCAGAAGAGTTACATTAGTTCCCAGGGCTTTTGCAAAGCTTTTTTCTCTCGTTACCTTGGTAACTGCTACCTTGGCACCCCTGTTGATAAGCTGCACCACATTCTCCACTTGGCCTTTGTAGGCAGCTACAAGCAGGCGTTCTGAAAGCACGGCGACCACATCCTGCTGGCTCATGAATTAGGAGAGAAAGGTTTTCAGGTTTCTTCAGTCCAAAAACAAAGGCTTGGGATCAGTTCAAGCAGCATGCAGGCAGGCGAAGGATTCCAGCTCCCTGGACAGTGATGCTATTGCTATGCCATCCATTGGACCTATGGATCAGAAAACAGCACTGCTGTCAGCCAGCTTTCAGAAAAAGAGCTCAGAAACTACAGCAGCTCCTCCCTGACCGTTCATCTCTGCCTTGGTTTGGGAGGGGATCACAAAAACTCCCCAGAACCTCCTGAAGGCATTACACTTCTGTTGCAAGGTGGAGGCACATAGACAGCAGCACATTTTCAATGTGCCCTCATTCCCCTTGGTTGGGACAAAAATCCTTAAACTTTCTGAGAGCTTAACTCTCTTTCAGTGTAACTTCTATTTGTGTGGTCCCCTTTCATCCTCTCTCTCCCCGCCAGGTTTCCTGGTCTTTAATTAGCCAAGGATGGGTTAACTACTGTTGGCCAAAGAAACAAGAATAGGTTATAGCTACTGGCTGCTGACTTAAATATCCAAGCCTCTGCCCTGGAAGGATTGAGTGCAGCCAGCAATTAAAGGCAGCTGACCGTTCCCTCTCAAGTATAAAATGCTTCACAGCCTCCCCTGAACCATCTCAAGGACACTGCTGGGAGAGATCCCAACCTGCTATTGGGAAACACTCATCTTTGCCATCACTGAGAAATTACGTTCTCCTCACTGAGCTGATATCATGCCTCACCAACCACAGAAACAATTCAGATTTAGCACTCATCATGCAAACTGTATGTTTGCCCAGGCTCCACTGACCCATCCAACGAGCCATCAGAGCTGAAAAGAGTTTTCTGAGATAATTACGAAAAATGTATCCACTGATCACTTTGAGCTGGGGATCCAGAACCAGCCCAGTTTGGGAAGATTTCAGCTTTATTTGTGCTTTTCTTACTTTAGTATTTAATTGTTTCAGTACAGGGAAAACACCGTCAAGATATCCAGTGTATTTACAAATTACCTGTCCTCCTCTCTTGAAATATCACTGCACTGCTCCTTAACAGCCACCAGTACTAAACCCTCTGCATAGTCGAAGAGTAATAGGTACAGGGTCCAGATGATCTTGGAGATCGATACTGGAATGCAATGTCTTTCACCTTTATGTTATCCTTTTAATCCATCTCAGAACAACAATTACTAAAAATGTAGGTTAATTTGTAGCAGTAGACGGTAACAGAATTTAATTTGCACTCCTAAGGTAATTTATATTAACAAATCTTAGAATGCTTCATGAGCTTTAATTCTTATAACACCCTTCAAGGTGAACAATATGCAGAAGAATATTACATGCATTTTAGAAAAAGGCTCTTGAAAGTATAGAAAAGTTACTGCTTTCTCTGAGGTCAATAGAATGTTATGCCAAAGCCAGTAAAAACTCCAGGTAACTGATTCTTGATTTCTAAGGATAAGCATTGAGCAATATCATTTCTGTTCCTCAGCTTTCTCTTCCTTTCTAAGTGCAAATATGTTTGGACCAACATGGAAATAGCTGCACATTTATTCAGAGAAACCAGACAAAGAGTTTCTGGGCACCAAAGTCAGCATAACATAGGACAATAGAGGAGTGGTGCTGTACTCTGTACCACTGGATTGGTTTCACCCACATCATCAGTGTGATGGGCACAGTTTGTACCCTGGTAACATGGAAAATAGGCAAGATAGAAGACAAACCCCTCATGACTTTCACTAGCACATCATACTCTGCTCCTCTGGCAGAATGCTGTACACATTGTAGTACAAACCATTTAAAAAGCACCAAGAAACACAGATGGCCTACACTTAGTAATCTGATCTGTGATAAACAACCTAAGTTTCAATCTTACCTCCTCAAGGATTTGATTTCCAGTGGCTCATGCTTCCGAAGCAGGTGGAACACCCACCCTCCCTCCATACCCCCCACCACCCACCCATAATCTCAGCCCCCTGCTCCCAACACATCCCTGACTCTCCCATCACATCCCAAAGTGGTGCTTCCATAAGCCAGGAGCACACCCCGCAGCTCCTCTCCATGATCAGTACACAGTGCAGTTAGTACACTTACAACAGGGTGCACAACTCCCTTACAACTCTTACGTTTCAGGCAGAGGATGGTGTGTTTCTGTGCCAGCCCCTGGCTGTGCAGTGGTAGTTTCCAGGTGAGTTGTGCCATCACTTGTTTGTCCCCAGCCTTACCTCTAAGCTGGCTGCCAACACTTTGGCTGGAGGCATGTACAACACACTGACATCTTAAAACATCTCTGTTCAGAACCTGCTTGATTTTCTTACCTTTTAAATAAAAAAAAACCAAACCAAAACAAAAAAAACCCACAAAAACAAAAACAAACAAACAAAAAAACCCAAAAACAAAACAAAAACCCTAAAACCAAAAACGATGCAGTGACATAATTGTCACTGACAGATTTGGATATTGACTACAAAAATCTCAGTCTCATTCAATGGAGACATTTTCCTGACATTTCCTGTCAGTGTGGAGACACACTGACATACTGAGCAAGTTCGCAGAAACCAGAGATGCTCATCACAGCCACACCACTAGAAAGACACTAATATCTCAACAATGTAGGGCTGGAAAAGTCTGGATAACCTATGCAAGGTAAATGCTGGAAATCATGCTCCCTAGTTTGATTGTTCTCCCTCCCTCATGCTGCCTTCCCATTAGTGCAGCACAGTGAGATCAGGAGCCTCCTCCTGCCATGCCCTGCCACACTGGAGAGATGGACTGTCACCGCATCACTGCTATCACGGAGTTTGCCTTTTTGTCTTTTCCACCTCTTGGATCATACAGAAAAGCAAAGCAAGGAGCTGATTCAGCTACTCGTCTTTTAGGAGTATCTCCTTTTGCCGGGTCTCCAGCAGGTGTCGGTCCTGTTCCCCGAGGGCAGTCACAGCACGAGTCTGGCTCCTCCTCGAACAACAGGTCACATTCCCTACCACATCTGCTTCACATCTCCTCAACTGGGATTATCTGCAATTCAGAAAAGCGCCTCCAATTAGAATAGGAAGCCCAGACAACTGAAAGACCAACTTTCCTTTTCTCCTAAGCTGGCAGAAGAAGGTGATGGGTGAACAGAGGAATTGGGAATAGCCTTCTCATCCCCCTCCCGAGGAACCCATCCCCAGCACAGTGGCTACACTGGCAATGGCATCGCTCCCCCCAGTTTTAACTCTCTACGTGCCTCAGACACACAGAGCGTCTTTCCTCTGCACCCCCAGCAGCAGGAGGAAGGTACCAGATGCCCAAGGACTGCAATTAAAAGCTTGACTGCTCCTTTCACACCCAGATGGTGCAAAATGAACCCGACAACACGATTACAGGCACTGCATAGCATCCCTGCTGCCAGCACCTGCTGCCCAGAATTAAATCCCTCATTATCACCCCCAAGATCCAGAAGCTCAAGGGAGGCACAGAGCATGAGAATATTCAAACCTTACGCCTTCAAAACAACAACAACAATAATTATTTTGCCTTAACGTATTCTTAAATAAAAACCAGCCATCTCTGTGTTTCTTTGTTTAAGATCAGATTACTTACCTGGGGTAGGCTGGGAATGCAACACCTACTTCCCAAGCCTCTCCTAGGAAACTGGCCAGATGTGATGCCCACAGGTGCAGTTGCTTTGCTGTGGGTCGATCCTTGCGAGGATAACGTGCTCACCCCATCGGTGGAGTGTGGAAAAGGACAGGCTGACTGTGGATTAGTGTTCCCAATCGGCAGCCGCCAGACACGGTCCCCAGGCACGGAGGTCCAGCTGCATCCCCACGGATTATGCTCTCAGCTCACTGAGCCACAGGAGATGTCTGTCTGGGGTGGCACAGCCCCGTGTGGCTGCTTGGTGGCAGGGCTGTAAAGCTCCCCCAGCTCTGTCCTCTCTCCCATGCAACTGGCAGAGCTGCCAAAAAACACTCTCTGCACCTTTCCCCTCCCCAGCTCCCTCCCTTCCAAACTGCTGCCAGGCTGCTTTCAGTGGCCCTAGCGCTTACACGTCAGTAACAAAAAAAAAAAAAAAGCACAGGAATGATGGTTTTCAAAAGCCAAAGGACAGGCCAGGAAACATCAAACATCACAGATACTGAAAGGCTAGGCGATAGACTCTCCTAAATTCATGTAAAGGGTTAAAACCCTTTGCAGCTGCCTCACTGAAGGAAGAGAAAAAAAGCCAAAACTATGAAAGATTTAGGAGCTATGAGCTAATCAATTTTAAGAAGTTCCCTGTGCTAAATGGAAAAGATTAAATGCCAGAGCACAGGTCATTCTCAATGCAATCACTAAGTTAAATTAGTATTTGAATAAAAGAATGCTTACATAGCTGACAAAAAGTTTCCATGTGTGCTGAAGTACAAGATGAAAGAGGAAAAAAAGAAGAAGGGACTGCAGTTTTCTGCAAGGGATCCCAAATTCTCTTTTTAGTTTATCACAATAAATTATGCTGAATAGAATCACAGAATCACAGAATAACAGAATTTCCTGAGATGGAAGGGATCCACAAAGATCACCAAGTCCAACTCCTGGCCCCACACAAGATGGCCCCAAAAATCCCACCATGTGCCTGGGAACATTGTCTAAATGCTTCTTGAAAACTGGCAGGCTTGGGGCTGTGACCACTGCCCTGGGGAGCCTGCAATCCAAGAAAAAAAAATCTCAGCACCTGGTACCTTTATTTTATTCAACCCAAATAATGGAATAAAATTAGTCTAAATTATTTTGGAATACCCCAATATTAAGATATGGAGCCAGACCATTTTGTTATGGGAGAGAAGATAAAAACTACTAATTTATAATAATAGTCTTTCTAAGAAAATTTCCAGCATCTAAATACTGCTCATCTCGTCTTTGCTTGACTCTCACAGCAAAATGTGTTTCTTTTTTAATTAGTACATAACAGTATAAGATCTATAAAATGCTCTTTTTCTCATCCAGCCTCTTTGCAAAGCAGTTTGTCATACATAAAATATGACGTAAACAGTACGACTGTATTCACTTTAGAATAACAGCATTTTTCAGCAGAGTGGATTATTGCATTAGAAAGAGTGGGTTTCTTGGAACTCATTTATCACTTACTGCACGATGCTGATATATCTGCCATTT